AAGAAGAAGAAGAAGAAGAAGAAGAAGAAGAAGAAGAAGAAGAAGAAGAAGAACGATAATAATAATAAAAATACATGTATAGACTATTTATTAACCAAACCATGTTGTGATCTAAGATCCTCGAACCAGCTTTTTGATTTTTGCCTTCCAAATTTCTTTCGGATGTTAATTGTTATGTTGGTCGTCACGTTACACTAGGATCTCATTGTTGGATATTATGATCCATTTTATTTTTGCGTATAACTAGTAAGTAACGACAAACAGATCGTTTGTTTGTTTTGTTTTTTCAACAATTAGCCTGGTCTGCTAATTTAAAAGTATACTTCTACTTGTTGAACTTTAACACAAGACCAATTGTGATCTGCTGGAAATATAGGCTACAGCTTTAGATTTTTGCAATCCAAATTTCTAAAAATTTGAGTCATGTTGGTTTTTACTTTTTACACTCTCAACGTTAGATGTAATCCTTTTTTTTTCGGGAAGGGGGGGGGGGGATATTTTGTTGTAACGACCAAACAATTAAGTCATTTTTATTCAAACCTTGGTCTGCAATCATAAACCAACAATACCGCGTAGGCCTACAAAAACAGTTGAGATCTAGATTCTCTAGATATGCTACAATTAATTACAGCTTTCCATTTTCATGTGTCATCTAAATCTATATTATTTTTTTGTGGTGTGTGTAGCCTATATTTATAGTTGTTAACGAGTTAATAGATTTTTTTTTCTTTCTGTACGTGCAACCTTGGTCTGCTGTTTTGTGTAACTTTGCACATAATAATATGTATATCAGAGTCTACGCGAGAATTGAGATTCTAAAAGCAGGAAACAGCATTACATTTTTGCAGGCCAAATTTCTTTAATAAGTTGTTATGTTGGTTGTTACACTTTAAGTGTTGGAAATAATCCATTTATTTAGGCCATGTGCATCCATGTACATATCTGTCTAATTGTAACGAACAACAAATGCATAATCTTTCTCCAACCCTTGTTCTGTACTTTTACCACAGGAACTTTGTAGTTTACGTGATTTATTAGACCGTAATTATATATAAAGCCTCTAGTTATGACCTGAGATGCTGGAATAAAGAGCTTTACATTGTTGTCACCAACATTTCTTTAGTAAGTTGTTATGTTGTTTGTTACACTTTAAGTGTTGGATAAAATCCATTTATTTAGGCTATGTGTGTAGGCCTGTCTAACTAGTTGATGTAACGAACAACAAATCATTCTTTTACAACGGTTGTTTCCACCCCCTCCCCCCCCCCTCGGGGCAGTGCCACCGACTACTGTAGTGTCTTTAGGCCAAAGGGGGAACATTTCTCGTTCAAGCACAGTAGAATTGTAAAAATGGGCTGATTCCTCATGTCACGCTCATAACTGTGCCTGATCTGCAACAGGGAACTGCTGCTTTTTCTTTCCTAATCCTTACTATTGTCATTTTCCTCTACTTTTTTGTATGTTTGTCACTCTTGTGACCCGCTATTTCCGGGGTGCCTTGATAGTCGAAGCAGACCTTGTGCTGTTGAAGCAAGAGAGGTGAGCAGAGTGAGTCTGATTGCCTGCGAGGACTTCTCTGTTGACACCAAGGAGATTAAAAGTAATGGAGGATGCTCTGTCGGCGGCACCGCACGCCTGATAGGAGCCCTCTCTCGCGGCGGAACTGTGGTCTACCTACGCTGCGCGAATCCCCGACTTACGCACTGAAATCTAGATAAGACAGAAGGTTTTATTCCGAGGTCCTTGAGATTAGGCAAGTCAATTAGTAAAAATGCCTTGCATATGTGTTGTATTTAAGTGTAAGAACCGATATGATGCTGCAGTGGACCGACGTTTTCACAGTTAAGTTGTTTTCCTTTTAAAACATTTGAATGAAAGTTTTTTTATGCCCACAGCAACACAATTTAGATCATTAATATTCCTAAGAGGATGGCTCCGGCGCTACCTGCCAAGGCCAACCTAGGCTGAAAGGGATACAACACCCCAGCAGAAAGACCGAGATACTCAATTTTTTAAAAGTATTCTTATTCTTATAT